TCTCTTCTCTTCTCTTCTCTTCTCTTCTCTTCTCTTCTCTTCTCTTCCCTTCCCTTCCCTACTGTACTCTACTCTATTCCATATTCTCTTGTCTTTTCTCTTCTTTTCTCTTCTCTTATCTTCTCTTATTACCTACTCTATTCCCTCTTCTCTTCTATTCCCTATTCTACTGTTCTATTCTATTCCCTATTATCTTTTCTCTTCTCTTCTATTAACTACTCTCTTCTCTTCTCTTCTCTTCTCTTCTCTTCTCTTCTCTTCTCTTCTCTTCTCTTCTCCTCTCCTCTCCTCTCCTCTCCTCTCCTCTCCTCTCCTCTCCTCTCCTCTCGGTTTTCTCCTTGGTTAGTTCCATCCTTTGTCTCTTGTCCAGCCTTCAGGTGCTCTGGAGAATGGGCCAACCAACCCCCCCTTCTTTGTGGCAGCCCCTCAAATATTGGAAGAAGGAAGATAGGAGACAAAACCAGTTGCAAGTCATTGTGCACAGCGCTGCATTGTGTAGCCGACGTAAAACAGGCCCTGTCTCTATTTGCGTACACGTCTATGCAGGTGCGTGGGTGTGGCAGTGAGACAGAAAAAGAGAGGCGGGGGGGGGGGGGATTTTCAATATTTATGGGGTTTTCCTGCGGTTGCCCTTCCAAAGACTTTTTTTTTAATCCCAGCACGGAATCCGAATGATGAAAGCTACATTGCTAAAAGAAACTTCTTCTCTTTGCCAATCCCAAAATGACTTGCATTTCTAAGCATTATTTTTGCGTTTTATGTTCTTCCAATTCACGGGGGCTTTGGAGAATTAATTTTATTAGAAAATTAGAGAAAAAGAATATATATATATATATATATATATATATATATATAAAAACAGAATTGAAAACGTATGGCGCGTGGCAGGGGAAGGATATACTGCAAAATCCCCATTCCCTCCCCACCCTAATAACCTGCTTTCCAGCTCTGTTCTCCTGTGCAGGACAACCCAAGAAGACCCAGCCGATCAGCTGTGGGCGTGGCTTGATGGGCGTGGTGTTCTGTGGGTGTGGTTTGGTGTCTTGGTGGGCGTGGCAGGGGAAGGATACTGCAAAATCCTCATTCCCTCCCTACCCCACTAACCTGCTTTCCAGCTCCGTTCTCCTGGGCAGGGCAACCCAAGGAGACCCAGCCGATCATCTGGGACTCGATGGGAGGCGGAGGAGAGATGGGGTTGGCGGGGCCAGTCAGAGGCGGGATTGGCCGGTTCTCCCAACTACTCCAAATTTCCGCTACTGGTTCTCCAGAACTAGTCCGAACCGGCTGAATACCACCTCCGGGGGGGGGGGGGGGGTAAGTGTCTGCATTTTTTGGATGCTACTCTGAGTAGGGGTACATTTTGTTTGGTTGCAGGAAGTCCAAATCCCTCTATAATAGGACAACTGCATCTGAATTCATAAAAGTTTGGGGGAAACTCCTTTGTTAGACGGGATGTGTGTGTGTGTCGGTGTGTCCATCTGCATTGGGTCCCCCCCCACCCGCCATTCCTCATTCGTTTTCCTGGGCAATAACCCTGCCATGTAGTTTTGGTGTGTGTGTGTGTGTGTGTGTGTGTGTGTGTGTGTGTGTGTGTGTGTAAACCGGCCCCCTCGCTATCCAGGCAGGTTCCACAAGAGATATGGATCTCCAACTTCGGGTCCCAATCCCCACGCCTCTTCCTTACTGCTAAGGGCGTCCCATCTCAAGCCAGACTAGATCGGGGGCGAACCCTGGGCGGGTTTGCGGCAGTTTTCCTAACTTCGGGAGGGGTTTTTTTTTGGTTGGGGGGCAGGGGAAGCCTTGGTCTACCTCTGCACTGCGCCTCTAGTTTGGGGGAGCTGTCTGGGTGGAGGGGAGCCCCTCTGAGCCCTGGAGCTTCCGAGGAGAGGTTGCACATACGGAAGCTGTCTGGTTCGCCCCCGCCGGGTGGAAAGGCGAGCCTCCTCCTCCTCCTCCTCCTCCTCCTCCTCCTTCTCGGAGGGGCGGCTCCGGGCTGCATATAAGCGGCCCCGGCTGGCCGGCTGCCGCAGTGTCCTCTCCGACGACAAGATGCTAAGCTACGGCGCGGAGGTGCTGTTCGGCGGCGGCCCGGCTGCTTTCCGCAAGGATGCCGGCGGCGGTTTGCGCTCAGCCGGGCCGGCGGGCCTTTCGCGCTCCGGGATGGGCTCCTTGTCCTCCAGCGGCTTCCACTCGCAGGGTTGGTCTCGCTGCTCTGCTTCCCGGCGCCAGTTGGGTTCGTCCACCGAGAGCCTGGAGTCTTTGGGCCCGCTGAACGGCGAGTTGCGCGGAGGGCGCAACGAGAAGGAGGTGCTGCAGGCGCTCAACGACCGCTTCGCCGGCTACATCGACAAGGTGCGCGCCTTGGAGATGCAGAACCGGCAGCTGGAAGGCGAAGCGGCGGCCCTGCGCCAGCAACAAGCCGGCCGCTCCGCGCTGGGCGAGCTGTACGAGCGCGAGATCCGCGAGATGCGCGGCGCGCTGGTGCGGGCCAGCAACGAGAAGGGGCAGCTGCGGCTGGAACAGGAGCGGCTGGAGGAAGAGGTGGCGGCGTTGCGCCAGCGGCTGGACGACGAGGCCCGGCTGCGCGAAGAGAACGAGGCGGCCGCCCGCGCCCTCCTGAAATTCACCGAGCAGGCCCAGATGACCAAAGGCGACCTGGAGAAGAAACTGGCCGCCCTCCGCGAGGAGAGTCTCTTCCTGCGCCGCAGCCACGGCGACGAGGTGGGCGAGCTGCTGCGCCAGATCCAAGGCAGCGGGCCCGCCTCCGTCTTCGAGATGCGCGAGTTGCCCGCCGTCCAGTCGGACGTCACCTCGGCGCTCAAGGAGATCCGCGCCCAGCTGGAGGGCCACACCTTCAAGAGCTCCCTGCAGTCGGAGGAGTTTTTCCGAGGTGAGTCCTGGGGCAGGGGAGTGGGGGGGTCTCCAACCTTGGCAACTTCAAGACTTGAGGACTTCAACTCCCAGAATTCCTCAGCTGAGGAATTCTGGGAGTTGAAGTCCACAAGTCTTACAAGGTGTCAAGGTTGGAGACCCCTGAGTTAAGGGACCCGAGAGGAGACCCCTGAGTTAAGGGACCCGAGAGGAAGGGGGGTAGCTCTTGTACCGACCCCCCCCCCCCCCCCGGGGGTTGGGGACAGGGGGGGGGGGGCCAACGGGGGGGGGGGAGGGGCGCCAGGCGCTCTAAGAGGGATGGTCCGAATGCTCCCGAGCCCCCCGAAGTGCCGGAATAGATAGATGCTCCAACCCTAGAGGTTTTGATGAAGAGATTGGGCAGCCATTGGTCTAAAATGATACAGCAGTCGCTCTTAAGACTTATAGACCGCTTCCCCGTGTTTTCCAACCCTCTCTAAGCGGTTTACAGAGTCAGCCTCTTGCCCCCAACAATCTGGGTCTCCTCATTTTCCTTGAGCTGGTTTGATAGATAGATAGACAGATAGATAGATAGATAGATAGATAGATAGATAGATAGATAGATAGATAGATTTCAATACAGCATCATCGAACAAGGAGAGATTTAACCTGGAAATAAGGAGAAACTTTCTCATAGTAAGAACAATCAACCTTTCTGGAACAGAAGTTGTGGGAGCTTCATCCCTGGAAGCTTTCAAGAAGAGACTGGACTCCCATCTGTCAAAAATGGTGTAGGGCCTCCTGCTTGGGCAGGGGGTTGGACTAGAAATACCTACAAGGTCCTTTCCAACTCTGATTATCTGTATTAGCTTATATAGATAGTAGCTCAGAGACCCGAGGCAGAAAGCTAGGGTTTTTTGATTTTTGGGGGGAGGGGGTCCCCTCTGCAGTCAAGATTTGGGGGAAGCAACAGAACAGTTGCCCGAAGGAGCAGGGAAATTGCCCCAGCCTGGGTCAAAAATCAACCCTCTTAATTTTTTTTCGGTGAATGGGTGATTATGGGGGGGGGGAGTAAGGGTTGCGTCATTCAGGACCCCTCCATCCTTCTTCCTTGCCCTCCCGGCGACTTTGAGAGGGAAGGGCGAGCGAGGGGCCCATGAAACGAGTTCGAGCCGAGGTAACTCTAAGCGGACGCAAGAAAGGCGCTTTCACCCGCCGAAGGGCAAACCCAGCTAACACCTTAAAACGTCCGGAAATGATTCGATGACTCATAAAATCGATCAACCTGCCAATCCCGCGGGGCCCAAACTCGGCTGCCCGAAAGTCGCTGTGCAAATCTGAACTTCTCACCCCCCCTTCATCCCCCCCCCCCCGCTTTCCCCATCCAGAAGGCTTAATACCAAGGCGAGGGGTAGCAATTGTACCCTTAAGGAGTGACCTTGCGGGAAAGTGTCAAGACTGGGAGTGGGGAAGAACCGGGCTCTGAAAACGGGGGTCCAATTCTTCCAAGTCACAGTTCAGACGACCCCCAAATGAAGGTTTTGTAATGAGGGAGGGTGGAAAAAGTTTCAGGTGAAACCCTCTCGCTTCCTGCCTCCTCGTTTAAATCAATTTTTTCACTTGGGTGTGTGTGTGTGTGCATGTAAATCCCCGGCCTTGTACATTTTAGTGCAGGATGGAGGCCATTCATTCACCCCAAACTGGGTGTGTGTGTGTGATCATCTCAGACTCCGGGGCTGAGAAAGGGAAAGGCAGATGAGTTAGGGGGGGAGACATCGGGATGGGGTGGGCTAGTTTTGAAGAAGGACTGAACCAGGACGAGATTCAACCTGGAAATAAGGAGAAACTTTCTGACAATCCAGCCATGGAAGAGAAGTCGCCCTCGGAAGTTGTGGGAGCACCATCCCTTGAGACCTTCAAGAAGAGATCGGGCTGCCATCTGTCAGAAATGGGTGTAGGGCCTCCCGCTTGGGCGGAGGGGGGGGTTGGACTAGATGACCTACAAGGTCCCTTCCGACTCTGATTCTCTGTTGTCATCCTGCGCCCTGGACTGACCCAGCGGGCCCAAATTGGCAGGGGAAATTTCCTTTTGGAAAGAGAGAGACAAAAAAACCCTTGGCTATTTGGGGGCGGGTTGTGTGTTCGTGTCTCCCCACTGCGGAAGAGGGAGCTTCGCGCACCTCCCCGCGCCCTCCCCCCCCTCCCCCGGGCTGCGGGGAGGGGAGCAAGAAAGGAAGAACGCGACTTTCCTCCCCCCCCCGCCCCGCAGTAGTCAGTTTGGAAGAGCAGAAAGATGAAAGAGAAAAACGAAACTAAATTAAAAAATTGCAACCTGCAACCTAGAGGGTTGGGGGTGTGAAATAAGGGTTTTGCTGGGTTTTGGGGGCGGCTGGGAGGAGGGAAGGCAAGGAGAAGGTCGGTTGGTCTCCTTGCTGGGGCCTTCTCGGCCTTGGCGCAGGAGGGAGGAAGCGGCGGAGCGCGGGGGGGTCACTTTCCCAGCAAGCCGGGGTTTGCCTCGGGCGGCGGGTTGGGTGGGTGGGTGCCGCAGTCTAGGCTGACCGGTCCGGGCGACAATTCGAGGGCAGAGTCCCTCCTGCAGGTTTTTTTTTCCGTGGTGTGTGTGTGTGTGTGTGCGTCTGGGGTGTGTCTGTGCAAGGAGGGCTCAGACTGGCGCAGCGTGACTAAGCCTCCTTTGCCGCCCCTCCCTCCCCATCTTTGCAGACACTTCTCTCCTCCCCCCCCCCGCTTCCTCCTCCTCCTCCTCCTCTCCCCCCTCCCCGCCCGGCCTGGCCAACACGCCTCCTTTCCATCCCTGTATTCGGCCAGGCGCCAGCTAGGGAGGGGGGCGGGGAGACTTAAAGCGGAAAGAATTGGGAGGGGGGGCGGGGAATGAACCTGTGGGTGTGTGGAGGGAGGGGGGGAGGACCCTGGGGAGTTTGATGCGGCTACTGGCAGGAAAAAAAAGCCGGCTCTTTCCCGACCATCAATGAAGCTACGTGACAACTCCCCCACCTCTCCAAAAAAAAATTGTTTGGGGAATCACCCCCCCCCCTCCACAAACCGCTGGAGGACGAATGGGAGCGTTGCAGCCCTTTTGGAGTTGGGGGGGTGGTTCTGGCCAGACTGGGGATGCTTCCCCCCCCCAACTCCCGGGCTGTCTCTCGACCCGCCTTGCAATGTTTCCCCTCTCGGATTAATCTGAGGCCACCGCCAGATTAACCTCCATTGCTTATTGCCCTGTTAGCTCCCACGGCCCCCTCTCCTGCCCCCCCCCCCGCCCCACCGAGCCTTCTTGGGGCTGCTTATCTGCCTTCCAGATGTCCTCTTGTCCCGTCTCTCCCTTCCCCCCCCATGGAAAAAAATCCGCTATGGGGAGGCGCCCCCCAAAATGCGCTCAAGGCGAGGGCGCTGTCCAAGGTGCTGACCTCCTGCTTTTAATGACGGCCGTTTCCAAACCGAGAACTCCCAAGATCCATCGGGTCGCGGGGATCAGAGACCGAAACTCTTGACTGGGTTGGGGGGGGGGGGTTCTCGGTGGTCTCTTGCTTGCAGATGTTTCATTACTAGGTAACATCTGCAAGAGGCCTTCAAACAAATCCCCCGAGCTCAGAGAGAGCACCAAGGAGCCCACAGTCATTGTAGTCCTCCTCTTCCTCCTCCTCCATCTCAACCTCACTCTCTTCTAGTACTGATGATGTTACCTAGTAGGGTAATTAAATGTCTGGAAGAAAGCCACCAAGTTCAGTGAACATCCACGACCTCCCCGGCCCTTTTCCTCTCTTCCTCTTCCTCTTCCTCCCACTCCATAACCCCCACTCCCTTCTAGCACTAATGATGTTACCTAGTTTGACAGTGAAACATCTATAAGAAAAGCCGCCAAGCTCAGAGAGCACCCAGGACTCAACCCTGAGATACATATGCCATCTTCTATTCAATATGGGATGTGTCTGGCTTCAGTCCTGTCATTAAACTACATTAAACAACATTAAACTACCTACCCCTTAACCCCATTTGATTGCCTAAGGCAACATTAGTTGAGTCCATGCATCGGGCAGACTATAAAAATATAGGCTTGCATTTATTCTGGCTGAATTGACATAGAGCCCCTTCAAGCCAAAATTAAAAAAAAAAATAGAGTATGACCTATAAGTATACTGTAGGACCCTGATAAGTCCTGTTCTTCAGCGCTGTTGTATCTTTGGCCACTAAATGAACTGTTGTTATGTCGAGGACTATACCTATCTAAAAATATTCCCATTTTATTTTCCTGTAGTCAGTATAGAAATAATTTAGCCTACTTTTCCTCCAGAGTTTTTTTTTCTTGTAATCTTCCATCTAAGTTCTGTTTCCAAAAAAAAAAAAACCCAAATCCAGCCAACCTTGTCTAGATGTCTCCATCGGCTGCTATAAATACAACGCCAGCATCTGGAATGATCTTTAATCTCTTTACGCAAACTGCTTTTTTTTAGCACCGCCTATCCTCTGGGTTTTTGCAAACTCACTTAAGACAGACGGGAAGATGAAGAGGAGGCTGAATTTGAACAGGCAACATTCTTGTTGCAGTTTGTGGTTGAAGTATCTTCTGCTGACCTGGTCCTTTAATAGCATCTTTCAGCCATTTGGAAATAGGAAATAAAATTTAATGTAATACTCGAGAGCGGAGTTCCTGCAGTGACTTTTCAAATAAGTCTGCAGTGGAATTGTGTTTAACCGCAGCGGAATTGTGTTTGCATAACACACGGTGTTCAAACAAACGTGGTTGAGTGTGATGCCGGCTTTGCACTATACGGCATGTAAAAAATGGATGCCAAACCCCCTACAAACAACCAGCCCATTTCAGGCTAGCCTAGCATGCTAGGAGAACCTTGCTACATCATGGCTTCCTTCTAGACTGAAATTCTTCTTTGTAAAAGCTCTGCACTTGCTGAGTCAGATTGCAACACGGTTTCTCACAGGCAGAATCCGGCTTGGGGGAATCCGCCTCCAAGCTCATTAAGCCCCGCAAAATAACATAACATTTAAACCATCTTTTTTCCACCACCCCCTTCCCTGTGTCGTCATAAGAATATCTTTTAGATTTGCTCAGCAGGCTCTGATGTGCTCCTGAAAATTGCTCGGTTGCTAGACACCGTCATATTGAATCCGCTTGAAGTCTAAGGCAGGAGACTGGCAAGTTTAAGACTGGTGGACTTCAATGCTCAAAATTCCCCCAGCCATCAAGTTCTGGGGGTTGAATATCCACAAGTCTTAAAGTTGCCAAGATAATCTGAGGTGTTTCTTTTTTTTCTCCTTTGGAAACGAAGCAATCAAGGGAGATCCGCTGCTTCTGCCTTCTTTTTTATTTTTGGAATCCACTCCTGATCTTCCCACCTCTCTGTCTGCTAATTTTAGCAGAGAGAAATTCTTCAAGGTTATTTTTTTTTCTTTTTTAAAGTGCATTAGTGATCCGTAGTATAGATACTCCTTGACGTAGGACCATAACGGAGCCCCAAATCTCTGTTGCTAAGTGAAACATTTGTTAAGGGAGTTCTGCTCCCTTTTACGATCTTTCTTGCCACCATTGTTGCGTGAATTGGTGAAGTGAAGTCCCACGGTTGTGAAGTGAATATGGCTTCCCCATGGGCTTGGCTTGTCAGCAGGTCGCAAAAAGGGATCGCATTACCCCCCAGGGACGCTGCAATCATCATAAATAGGAACCAGTGGCCAAGCACCCGAGTTTTGATCACTTTTGAATGACTTTCAAGAAGTCATTCTTAATAAGCCCAGGTTTTCCCACAGCGTTTTGTGAATGGGTGATTCTTTGGCTTTCAGAAAGAAGAGATATGGATTGCCGTCTGTCAGAAATGGTGTAGGTTCTCCCACTTGGGCGGGGGGATGGTGGGTTGGACTAGATGACCTACAAGGTCTCTTCCAACTCTGTTAATCTGTAACTGTAACTGATGTCAACTCTCGTGCCCCATAAGCTCAATGGCTCCTCTCTCTTCCCCGATTCCGTCCTGCAGTGAGGCTGGACAAGCTCTCCGAAACTGCCAGGGTGAACACCGATGCCATCCGCAATGCCCAAGAGGAGCTGTCGGAATATCGCAGGCAGCTGCAGTCCAAAACGACGGAGCTGGAAACTCTCCGTGGGATGAAGGAATCCTTGGAAAGGCAGAGGCTGGACATTGAAGATCGCCACCATTTGGATGTCCAGTCTTATCAGGTAACGCACGGCAAAGATTGATGGACCGAAGGTGCTTTTTTTTTTTTTTTTCTCGAGAATCATGATTGAATTAGGGCGATTGCTGGAATCCTGACACTTCGGTTTAGTTGAGGTCTGCCTGTGTACTGTGGGCTCGCCTTCCTTTTTAGTGTACAAGTTGGTTCAGGGCAAATCTGTGTCTTTTCCCCAGGATACGATCGGACAGCTGGACAACGAGCTCAGGAATACCAAGTGGGAAATGGCCGCCCAGCTTAGAGAATATCAAGACCTGCTGAATGTCAAAATGGCTCTAGATATCGAGATAGCTGCCTACAGGTACATGACCCTGGAACGATTCCAAATTAGGAAAGGATAAGAAACCTCAGTTTGCGTCCTTGTAATATTTCTTCGCGCCCTGCTTTTAAAAGTTGACTCTTGTATGTTTAGCCCATGACCGCACAGGAAAGGAAATCTTTACCTTTATCTTCTAGGTGCCCTTGGCAAATGAGAGGGCTATTTTAGAGCCACAGGGGAAGCTTAGTTAAAAGCTAGAACGAAGGAGAAATTGCCTATCGCTGAGAAAAATTAAACCACGGCGGCTGGCCTCCCGGGAATTGAGAAGGTACTCCGTTGTTGGGAAGTTTTAAAATATAGACTGGACAGCCACTTGTCTGGAATGGTCTCAGGTCTCCTGCTTGAGCAGGGGGTTGGACTAGATGATCTCCAAGGCCCCCTTCCAAACCTTGTTCTTCTAGGATTCTGTAAGGGTCTCCTGTTTGAGCAGGGAGTTGGACTCAATGACCTCCAAGCTCCCTTCCAGCAGGAGATCCTATACCATATCAGACAGATGGCTGTCCAGTCTCTTCTTAACAACCTCCAGTGATGAAGCACTCACAACTTCTAGTGGCAAGCTGTTCCGCTGGTTAATTGTCCTCACTGTCAGGAAGTTTCTCCTTATTTCCAGGCTGAATCTCTCCTTGTTCAGTTTCCATCCATTATTCCTTCTCTGGCCTTCAGGTACCTTGGAAAATAGCTTGACCCCTTCCTCCTCTCTGTGACAGCCCCTCAAATATTGGAAGGCTGCTCTCCTGCCTCCCCTGGTCCTTCTCTTCCCTAGACTAGCCAGGCCCAGTTCCTGCAACCGTTCGTTGCATGTTTTAACCTCCAGTCCCCTCATCATCCTGGTTGCTCTTCTCTGCACTTTTTCCAAAGTCTCGACCTCTTTTTTATAATGCGGGGACCAAAATTAATCCTTCGCGTAATTTTGACGTCGATGCCTGGAGCAACGGTGTTTGATTTTTTGTTTTCCCACCCTCTCTTCTCTTTTGGAAACAGGAAGCTGCTGGAAGGAGAGGAATGCCACTTTGGCAGCGGGATGGGGATTTTCCCCTTCCCCGAAATTGCCCCCAAGGCCCCGAGCGTTCCCTCTCACATCAAGGTCAAAAGTGAGGAGAAAATTAAAGTGGTGGAGAAATCGGAAAAGGAGACGGTGATCGTCGAAGAGCAGACGGAGGAAGTGCAAGTGACCGAAGAAGTGACGGAGGAGGAGGAGGAGGAGGAAGTGGGTGAGAAAGAAGAGGAAGCAGAAAAGGAGGAGGAAGCGGAAGAGGAAAAAGAAGGGGAAGAGGAAAGCCAGGAAGAAAAGGAAGAAGGAGAAGAAAGCAAAGAAGCTGCAATGGAGAAAGAGTCTCCATCTGCAGAGGAGACCCCGTTGCCTGAAAAGAAGCCCACCTTGAAGGAAGAGGAGGCCAAATCTCCTGAGGTTAGGTCTCCCACCAAAGATGAAGCCAAAGAGGAAGCCAAGTCACCAGCCAAAGTCACGTCTCCAACAAAGGAAGACAGTAAACCTCCGGCCAAAGTCACGTCTCCAACAAAGGAAGACAGTAAACCTCCGGCCAAAGTGATGTCACCAACCAAGGAATTGTTGAAAGTCCCAGGTGCAAAACCAGTGGAGGAGGCAGCCACGTCCCCTGTCAAAGAAGAAAGCAAATCTCCAGCAAAACCTGGATCTCCAGAAAGCCGGACTCCAGAAAAGATGAAATCTCCAACGAAGGAGGCAGAGAAACCTCCGGCGGTGAAAACCCCAGAGAAAGTGGCTTCCCCGACGAAAGAGGATCTCAAAACACCAGAAAAACCAAGGTCTCCAATGAAGGAGGCAGAGAAACCTCCAGCGGTGAAGATCCCAGAGAAGGTGGCTTCCCCAGTGAAAGAGGACCTCAAATCTCCAGCAAAGGAGGCAGAGAAACCTCCAGCGGTGAAGATTCCAGAGAAAGTGGCTTCCCCGACGAAAGAAGACCTCAAACCTCCAGAAAAACTCAAGCTTCCCCCCAAAGAGGAAACTAAATCCCCCGAGAAGGCCAAGACGCCCATCAAGGAGAAAGCTAAGTCTCCAGAAAAAGAGGGGGGACCCCAAAAGGAACCAGCGAAGCCGGTGACAAAGGAGGAGAAGGCGCCAGAGAAGGAAGCGGAAGCGCCAACCAAGCCCGTGGCAGAGAAGAAACCAAGCAAGAAAGAAGAGGAGGCCAAGCCACAGACCCCAACCAAGGATGTTCCCAGGCCAGAAGCCAAGGAGAAGGAGAAGACCGAAGACCAAGGGAGCAAGAAACAAAGCCCCAAGGCCAAGTCGCCCACCCTGGATGGGGAAAAGGTACCGGCCGCTCCCAAGGCTGAGGACAGCAAAGGGAAGGAAAAAGAGGCCACCAAGCCAACCTCCAAACCAGAAGCGGGGAAAGAGGTGGAGATAGGAACCAAGGGGGCCGCGCCAAAATCTCCAACCGAGGAAGCCAAAGCGAAGACCCCAAGCCCACCGACCAAGAAGGAAGCCGAGAAAGCCAAGGCCGAAGAGAAGAAGGAAGAACCAAAGAAGGAGAAAACGGAGCCCAAGAAAGAGGAGGAGAAAGAGAAACCCAAAGCAGCAGAGAAACCCAAAGACGACGCCAAGAAGACGTTGAGCCCCAAAGAGACCCCCACACCGGAAGGCCCCAAAGAGACCCCCAAGATGGAAAAAGCAGAGAAGTCCTCCGGGATGGACCCCAAAGAAAGTAAACCCGCCGAAAAAGAAGACAAGACCAAGAAATGATCAGATGCTCGGAGAAGCTTGAGGGGGAATCCCAAGGACTTGGAAGACCACCCATCTCAGGGCTGGTTTTTCCTCAAAGGCTAAATTTGGAGTGAGCCACCCCCTCCCACCCCCCACCCCCAAGAGGGACCTGGAATGCATGTTTGCAACCCAGCTGAGCCACGATCGGTCCGAGATACACTTTGGTGTAACACACGAACAAACCAACCCCAAAGCTGGTTCCAATTATGTTATTGACAGCTTCCGTAGCCGAATGTGATATATGCAGAATGCCATTTAAGCACTTGAATTTATTCAAGGGGGGGGGGAGGGGAGAGAGGGAGGGAGGAAGGGGGCAAAAAAATAAAAAAAAATCCAGGGCAGTATTTGACTGCCCTTCTCAAAATAAGTGCAATTGATCTCCCAAACACGGGCAAAAAGGAAACCGTACACGCAATAAATCTCGAACGTCGAATGCAGCGAGAGATGGAATTCTGCTCCGCACAGAGGACCGAGGGAAGGAAATCTCCGAAAAATGATGCTTTAAAGATGCCTTTTTTTTTTTTTTTTGCTTGATGTGCGTTGCTTGGGGAAGTGGGGTGTGTGTGTGTGTGTGTGTGAGAATGTAGAAGGCAGGCCTTAATCCAGCTCTCCGTAGGAAGAGCCTTTTCAAGGGGGTGTTAGGAGAAAAGCAAGGGGTCACCGTTGGTGGGAGTTGGGGAGGGGGATTGTCCCCTCCAGTCAGCCCCATTGCTGTTTCAAGGGTGGGTGGGGGGCGGCTTCCCATGTGCTAGCTTTGCCCCAGAGTACAGAGAATTTGAGGCAGAGGGTCTCCAACCGTGGCAACATTAAGCTTGGGGGGACTTCAACTCCCAGAATTCCCCAGCCAGCTTTGCTGGTTTGTAAGCAGGTTGTAAGCTGTAAACTGTAAGCTGGCTGGGGAATTCTGGGAATTGAAGTCCCCCCAAGCTTAAAGTTGTCAAGGTTAGAGACCCCTGCTTTTAAACCCCCTCACCCAAATTCTCCGGGTCTTTTGCGGCAGGGCAGTAATTCCGCCCCCCTCAAATCCTCATTGTGTGTGTGCGCGTGCGGGGGGCGGGGGAACTGTTGGTAGTTTTGTAGCGTTGGCACCTCCAACACGAGCAGTCCTGTTTGCGGGTGCATAATCACAGACACACCCTCACGCAAAAATGCATTACACCATGTCAAACGTTCACCACCTGGTTGCTTCTGTGCAATAAACCGCCAATTAAAAAGGAAAAAAAAAAACGTGCTTACAATACTTTGACTTCCCGTCTCTGGTTTTTGTGGTTGGGGAGTAGGCAAAGAAGGGTGACGGAGCTGAGCAGGGATAACGTACATTCCGCCGTGGAGTTACGAGGTTTCGCACCGAAGTGTTCCCCCAAGACTTGAAGGAGCAAATTATTTTCAGCAGAAAAATCCCGGCGGAGTCCAAGTCTTAGGAATTAGCCGTTGGCGCAGCTGCAGACCCAACCAGAGTTCAAAACAAAGGCAGCGTCAGGATTCCAGCAATCGCCCTAACAAAATCATGATCCTCGAGCCAAACTTCAAAAATCTTCGAAGGATTTATTAGAGGGGACGTGCTGGCACTGTCCTGTATGAAGCCAACTCTGGCATACGTAATTTAGTTCCATGTGACCCTGTTTAGTCCCTCCCCCCTGGGTGTGTCATAAATCAGATTCTCCAATTGAGCGCTATTCACGGGCTGGGTAATCAATCACATTCTCCAATTATGGGCTGGGTGTCATCAATCACGTTCTCCAATTAAATGTAGTCCCAGGCAAAAGCTCCGGTAGGTTAGTTACAATCTTTTAAAGAGAAGAGTTGGAATGTATTTCCGCTTCCAAATTGCTGCAGTGCTCTTCCAGATTTCCTTCCTCCTCTCCCCCCTCCCCCCCTTTTTTATGGCAACTACTAAAACGGGCATAGGAATGTTTTTATGAGTTGACAAACAGGTAGTCCTCACCTTATAACCACAACGGAGGCCCAGAATTCCAGGTTGCCAGGTGAGGAACCTGGTGTTGGTGAAGCGAATCGCCGCAATTGTTAAATTAGCAACATGGTTCTAAAGTGAATCGGGCTTCCCCCTCCTCCCCCCCGACTCAGCTTGTCAGAAGATCACAAAAGATGATCACGTGATTTCTCTGGGACACAGCGGCGGTCATAAATGTGAGTCAGTTGTCAGGCATCCAGCTGACTTAACAGAAAAGGAAGCCCCCCCCCCCCCCCCCAAATAAAGAGGGTTTTTTTTCCAAAGCACCAGGGGGGGCGAGTCAAGAAACAACGGATGGCAACTGATCAAGGAGAGAAGCAACCTGGAATTAAGGAGCAACTTCCTAACAGGGAGGACAATTAACCAGTGGAACAGCTCGACACCAGAAGTTGCAGGCGCTTCATCCCTGGAGGTTTTCAAGAAGAGAACCGGACAGTCATTGGTCTGAAATGGTGTAGAGCTTCCTGTCTGAGCAAGAGGGTTGGACTAGAAGACCTCCAAGGTCCCTTCCAACCTTGTTCCTTTCCAAAGCACCAGAGGGCAGGACAAGAAATAATGGTTGGGAATTAATCCAGGAGAGAAGCAACTTGGAATTAAGGAGAAACTTCCGAACAATTAATTAGGAGGAAGGGAGGACAATTAATTAATCAGGGGCACAGAAGTTGTCTCAGGAAGTTGTGAGTGCTCCATCACTGGATTTCTTTCTTTCTTTCCTTCCTTCCTTCCTTCCTTCCCTTCCTTCCTTTTCCTTCCTTCCTTCCTTTCCTTCCTTCCTTCCTTCCTTCCTTCCTTCCCTTCCTCACCCCACTCCCTTTAGCACTGACAATATTACCTAGTTGGGTGATGAAATGCCTTCAAGCAAACAACCAAGTTCAAAGAGCACCCAGGACTCCTCAGTCCTTCTTCTCCCTCCCTCCCATCCTTCCTTCCTCGCCCCCACTCCCCTTAGCCCTGATGATGTTACCCTACTTGGGTGAGGAAACGCCTTCAAGAAAACCGCCAGGCTCAGAGAGCAACCAAGGACACCGCCACCCCCTACCCCCACCGCTCCCCCGGTCCAACCCTGAGCTCCGAGTACCCTCCGTTATTGGTTCAAAATATTTAATAGGCGAGGACTTCCAACGAGCCCTTTGCTCCATTTTAATTCGTTCGAGAGATGGGAGGAAGGACGGCAGCGGCTTGGCTGTCTTCTCCGGCGCGGCTCCAAAAGCTGAAATCCGTCGGAGACGCAGCGGCTCCACATCCAAAATAAAATCCCCTTCGCTTGGGAAGCGTGGTCTAGTGGAACCTCCACCATTGTTGCTGATGGTGGTGGGCTCAGCGATGGCTGAAGAAGCCTTGAGGGTAGTTGTATTTGAAGGGTTTCAACCGGCTGGGTCCCCTAGGGGAAAGCAGGGAGCTTTCAAAAAGGAGGCTCACGGGACCCCCGAGAATAAACACGCCGTACGGCCCTTGCGCACGACCGTTTCCCCCCCGCCCCCCCAATCTCTACCTCAGATTTAAGAAGTAAAGTTTGCAAAAGGACCCAATTCCATCTTTGTAAACCGCCCGGAGCCGCTTCTAAACAAGACAGGGCAGCCTACGAGTCAAATAAATATATAAAAACCGTGATTTCCCCCCCACACACACACCGATCGAAGACCCACAGACTAACCGGAGCTGCAAGCAAGCCAGGAGAAACAGAAAAAAAATATTTTAAGCCTGGGAGAAGCGTTCGATGCAAGCCACCATTCACGCATGATGAAAACAACAAAACGAAGAAGGTCAGGTTTGGGCATCTCTGCCGTGAACAAGTTCCTGGACAGAAGCCTCGAAGTCTCATTCCTTGTTAAACCCTAAGCTTCTAGTCCTCTCGATTCGTCTCGCCGTGCCCAGTTTCGCCGCAGGACAACTCAACGAGGGGTAACTCAAGAGAAAGCGGACCTATTTTAAGGCAATGCTGGGAGTTACTTTCATTCTCAGCCAGAACTATGTAATAAACAGTTCCCCCAGATAAGAGGCACACCTTTCCGTGCTGTAGAATGCCGCCAAAAAACAGAAGTCCAATTAATTACAAGATAAAACCAACCAGAGTTCACGGAGCTTCCAGAAGGACTCAAGACACTATCGAACTACTTGCTTCCTGCAAAGAGTTCGTCATTGAGGTCTGACTTTTATCCCTTATGGGAGGGGCAATCACCTCTCAGCCTTACTCTTGAGTCGCCCCTTCTGCTCCAGCCGCTCTCGCCTTCTCCTTTAGGTTTGAACCTTCTCAAATTAGAAGCAGGACGGTAGTACCATAGTTTGGCAGTTAAGATGCTGGGCTTATTTTCTGGAAAGCCGGCATTCTGGGTTCGAGACCCAGCTCTGCATGACGGGCTGAGCTCCCCTCCTCGCTCCAGCTCCTGCCCAACCTAGCAGTTTGAAAGCATGCAAAATGCGAGTAGATCAATAGGTGACCACTTTGGCGTGAAAATAACAAGGCTCTGTGGATGTCATGCTGACCACATGACCGTGGAAATGTCATCAGACAGCGCTGACTGAATGGCCTTGAAATAAAGATCAGCAGCCCCCCCTAGAGTCGGCAATGACTAGCGAAGCCAAATCCGCAGGGATTCCTTTTTATCTTATTTTTTACCAAGTTAGAAGTCCTCGAGGTTGTTCTGGTTTGCTGGCCACAAGTGTGGACAGCTGAGGTCTCAGTGAGCGAGGACTCAGACGAGGGGCCTGCGTGTGATGCAGGGATGGGGCCAGGACCATCAGGGAGTGGAGTGCTGCCTTCGGAGATGGTGGAAGCTGGCAGCAGTGAGGAAGAGGCCCCCGAGGAACCTGTGCCCAATGTGCGTGTGCGCGCAGAGCTGCTCAAAGGAAAGAGCAGCTGCAGCAGCCCAGGCGACTCGGGAGTGAGGCTGCAAATTAACGGCCACTCCCTTAAGAAATAAAAGCCAGCTGAGAAACCGGAGTTCTTTGCAGGAAGCAAAGACGTTTTTGCACTCAAGCCTGGTGGACGTTCAGACTATCTTAGTTTGTGTTTGGAGACTCTGGGTTTGAAATATTTCTTGGCAACTTTATCTAGTGTTCTTTGGCAGCAGAACCTTGCACCACCTTGGCAAGGCTCGTTCTTATCAGAGATAATTCGTTTGAAACAGCCTT